AGCTTCCGGTGCTGCACTGGTTAACAGCTTTCCGGGCTTCAGGCAGAACGGTAGTACAGATGGTACGATGGGAACACACCTTCTTCTCCATTGTCCTCCATTTAGAAAAGTTTTTTCATCGACCAGCGATCTATGTAGGTTTTGTGCTGCCCTAGGCAATACGAAAATTGTCCACCCTACCCCCCCCCCCCACCCCTGCGGAAGAGAGAGCCTGTGACATTGACCAATAACACCCCTGCCCACCCGAGAGAGCCTACCACTGCCCCCCATGCACCGTCTTCCCCACCCAACGAGAGAGAGAAAGACACTCACCTTCACAGCTCCGGACATCCTCGGGAATGAAAGTTGGGCTCTGCATATGCCATCAACCAGCCCACAGCCTCTCTTGGATCCCACCTGATCTCCATGTCTCCTTTCTTCAGACCCTTCTTCCAGGGGGCAGCGCTGCCCCCCTGAAAAATGCTGCCCTAGGCAAATGCCTTGTTTGCCTTGTGGTAAATACGCCCCTGTCATTGACTACACTTCTTGTAACACAATCTGGGAATGGGGGAAAGAATCCTCTGACTGATCAAGCTGGGGTATGGGAATATAGGGCCAGGAAGAGGACAGGCATTGATGATGTGACTAAAGCTGTAGGGATTTTTTTTTAATTACCAATATGCTTCAAAGCTGAAGTTTAGCAATTTTTGGGGGATACAGCGCCAAACACATCTGTTCCTTGTAATGGTGTGTATCCTATGTTCCGCAGGTTGCTGCCGTCATTTAAAATCCTTCCTTCCTGCTACCAGATACTGACCAGAGTGGCTGTGAATGTGTAAGACTCGTGCTGCCCACCTTCCCTCTTCTGCCCCTCCACCAGTAATAACATAACTCCAACTAATATTGTCCCACAATGCAACACATTCTGTGAATAAACGGTGAGAACCTGTCATTTATCTGCTCTTCCTCCATTCAAAAATCACATTGCACTTTGGGACATATTTTGTGCTTAGACACAGTTAAGTGGTGAGCCATCTCAGACAAATCCACAACACTGTTTGGGACCCATAGAAAAAACACTGGTCTAGATGCATTGTCAAAGTCTTTCTTCAACTGGCTGCAAGGAATCATGAGAATATTATATATGATGAAAGAATTACATAAACAGAAGCTACCTTCTGTGCAAATCACATCAAAACAATCAGAAGATCCAAAGATGCAGGTTCTATCTTCCCCCCTCCCCCACCGTATTGGTTCTTCAGTAGATGGATATATTGGCCAGGTAAAAGCCTCAGGGGGTATAAGAGAGGTTCAAGACATTCCTGTCTCTGGATCTACTGATTGTTCTGTTGCTTGGTTGTTGCTTATGTTTTGTTTATGACCACCCTGTCACTGCTCTATCACTGCTTGGATAACTGACTGTTTATTCATTTTTAGTTGTTACCATTGCTTAACATCTACATTTCAATTGTCAGGGATGCGGAGAGGAAGAGGAAGGTAAAGGAACTCTTCAACAGTCTGTCAACACAGGAGGGAGAATGGAAAGCCTTGAAAAGAAGAAAGATGAAGGGGAAGTAACATGGACTTACTGTGCCTATAACATGGAGGGATCTGCAGAAAACATTACCTACTACCTGTCCTTTTATGAGGACAGCTTTTATCTTTTTTCCATTTTATGGAAACCGTGTTTGATATGAAATCTATAATGAATATTACATGTGGACACATGAAGCCATGTTGACTTGTGGATGTGGTCAAGACTTTGTTTACTGTCTGATACTGTACTGGAAAGAAAGTGTAATGGGAATTTCTACATTATGGAATATATCACAATTACAATATATATATTTCATGTTCTAACATTTGTGTTTGTTTTCTACATGTATTTTCCTACAATCAGCATATTATCATGTCAGGTTCTCTTAGGCTGTGTAGATGTATATAGACAAAATAAATCCTCTTGCGTTGCCAGTAACCACTCTCTGTGTATGAGTTTCAGCAAGCTCCTAATAGTGTTGTTGCCACAGATATATAAAAAAAAATAATCAAAAAAGGTTGATGCTGCGCTACTCAGAAAATATAACTTTATACCAAAAAAAGAAAAGTAAACACCCCACAGGGCACTAAACAAGTAATACTAGTGACACAAGTACACGTCTGATCGAACCTGGTCAACTCCAATGCCACTCCAAATAAAATGACAGTCCCATCTGGTTGGACAAGGTTCCACATCCCAAAGTTGAATAGATAAAAGAATAGAGCAAGATGCATGGTCCACAAGAGAGGATTCCTTTGAAGCATCACGGAGGGGACATCCAAGGATAATACAGCTGAGTGTATTTATTTAAAGCGTGTATGACTCTTTAGGGGTCAGAGCTGGAGGTGAGCGCACATGCTAGCTGGTGGAGGAACACAAGTGGTGTTTTACTGGTGGATTCACAGATTAATGAAGATTTATTGCACATATTGGGACTTTTCAATGAATATTATGTGATATCACTTTGAGCGTTCAGTTGGGTAGTTATATATTTTTATGGCACATTCAACTATTTTGTCACTATTGAACACCATTTTCAGTCATTTTGATAATTTCACAGACTAATTTGCAGATTATTTTCATTAATTCCTTTATTATTCTGGATATCTGTATTGCTCAGTCACCTTTTGCACATTTTTTTACTGGTAGCTGGGTGCTTATGTTTATATTTCAATTTATTGGTATTTTTAGTGTGTTATTTATTTAGATCACTGCAGGTTCATTATGCATATGTGAATATTTATGTTACTATTACGTAATTGTTTAGTGCCCTGTGGGGTGTTCACTATTCATTTTTTTGGTATAAGGTTATATTTTCTGAGTAGTGCAGCATCAACCTTTTTTAATTATTTTTTGTGCAGATGTATAGCTGCAAGTTGGAATAGATGATGGTGCTGCTGGTGAGATATTTGATCCTGAATTTCCAGAACTGCCAGAGGGGTAGGAGGAGGAACCAGGGAAGGCAAAATATAAGTAAATGAATCTACACCTTTAATAGAAAAAAGAAAGTCAAATTATCTCTGATAAGTCACAATGCATACCTATTTTATTTTGGATTAACACAATTATCATGCAAGTTGGAATAGATGATGGTGCTGCTGGTGAGATATTTGATCCTGAATTCCCAGGACTGCAAGTGGGGTAGGAGAAGGGGCCAGGGAAGGCAAAATATAAGCAAATTAATCTACACCTTTAATAGAAAAAAGGTCAAATTATCTGATAAGTCACAATGCATACCTATTTTATTTTGGATTAACACAATTATCATGCATTCTACATAAGTGCATTAACTACAAGCATCAAGGAGAAATCAGAGCTCAGGGGTCAAAATACCTGTATGAAAACCTTCAAACAGGGTCTGCCTTTCACTCAGTCAAACTAAAAAGGTCAGCTTTCCCTGGCACTATGGCATCTTCTATCTGAGGTTTTTCAAACAAATTGTTTTTTTTATTACTGAGAGGTTTCATTTAAAAGGATCAGGTACATGACTTCTGGGGAGAGTGGTGCATACAGGCCCATTCACATGGCAGACGTAGCTTCTGATCCTCTAGGCCTTGTCATGTACTTACTGGTCAGCACCTCTCCCCTCTTGAACTTGACATGTTCATGAGTCTCCTCGGGCTTGCAAAAAAAAAAAAACAAACAAAAGTTTATGTTGAACTGTGTTCATGGGCATTCAGTATGTGCATTTCTCATAGCTAGCAAGTAGACTTTTGTTATTTTTATCTAACCAGCATTAGAAAAATACCAGCTTGTTAGTTGCAGCTGGGAACACCTCTAATTTAAAAGAACAATAGGTACACCGATTATGCACATGAAAAGTCCTTCTAGACCTTTTTTCCCAATAGGTGTTCGGCACATTAACCACTGTTAAATCTGCAGATAACACTAGTAAAAGCCTTGTTGATATTCTGCATGTGATACATCTGTACAACTTAATGTACTCTATATGATAGGACATAGTCTTGGCACTATGGTATTTGGCCAAATACCCACATTTGTTAGATTTGCCAGTTATTGTGGATGGCTAAACCACTGCAGATCTGGCTGCCAAGAAAACATGTAAAGTAGCCTGATGTGCAGGTATACTCAGATTTGATAGGATAGAAGAGGGTATATAGGGGTCCTTAAAGCTGTATTTCAGGTATGGTAAATGTTACATAGTTAAATGGGCACAGCCTAGACCAATGTGACTATGTATGTTCTATGCCTGGCTGATCTCCGTGGAAGCTGGAAGCAACTACACAGTGGTAGCTGGAAATCACTGTAGTAGGCAACTCCAACTACAGTGATTGCCAATAGATTCCGGGCCCCATGCTGAGTGGCTGCCCTGCTGCTTACTGAGCACAGGAAATCACCCATTTGTCACAGGTGCTGATCAGAGAACACTTTGTATTTTCTGATTGGACGAGGTGGAAATCGTGAGCAGCCATAAGGAGTGCCGTACTATTCCTTCACATATTGCACATGTGCAGTGTGTACTCTTTCCTGTTGCCTATGATGATCTCAGTGGCTGTGTCAGGAGGGAGTACATACTGGGTATGTGTGGCCTGAAACAACAGGAGGGCGGTCCCTTCGTTGGCACTATGGGGTGCTGGTCCCAACAGCTGCTCCGTTTCTACAATAACTTGGGATGGAGCCATCGCAGACTGCTGAGAATTGTAAGTGTCCTTTAAATGCGTTTTTGTAATATATTGTTTAGGCAGAAGGGCAACCCTGGCTGGTAGGTAGGTTTAGCGCACTATGCTGCTATACTCATATGGGACAGCATAGTGTTCTTTTTGGTAAAGCTGAACTTACACGTTAAACATGACATTTTCATAATCTATCCTCATCAATTAAACAAACGTTTGTTTTTCTTGTGCCATCAACTGTCCCAATATTGTTATTGCTAAAGTAGGGATTAACTTAAAAGTATAAATATGTTGGTTTCATGTACAGCCCTCAGTGTATTTTATCATTGGCTCTTCTAGTAGGTATTGCGTCATACAGTAAACTCAATTACGCTTTCATTCATTGTTTTTACCTTCACTCTCTGGATTAATGCCAAGCCTCTGCTCTCTTCTCCTTCCAACAGTTTCCTGTAGACTGCAATCTCTGCATCCAACTTGAGCTTGATGTTAAGCAGGTCTTGATAATCTTGTAGGTATCTGGCCAAGTCAGCCTTTGTCTCTAGGAGGCGATCTTCCAGCTGAGCAATGATGTCTTGTAGGGAAGCTACTTCCTCGAAGTGCTTGGCTTGCATGTCATCCAGCAACTTCTCCAAGGCTTCATTGCGTGCTCTCAAAGTATCTATTTGACCCTGCAGCTCAGATTCTTGTGAGGAATACCTGCTAACATCTTCCCTGATGTTCCTGATCTTCTCCTCATTCTTGACCAGCTGCCCTTTTGCGGAACTGAGTTTAGTTTTGTACCATTTCTCTGCCTCTTGAATGTTTTTGTTTGTAGCTTGTTCAATCTCCATACGCAAGGCCTTAAGAGCTGCTGCTAAATCAGGTCGAGAGCTTTCTATCTCCAGGCTCACCTTAGACTCCTGGATTTGATTCATTAGGTCAGCAACTTCTTCATCATGAAGCTTTTTAAGGAACTCAATCTCGTCTATCAGTTGTTCAATTCTTTTTTCCAGCTCCAACTTCTGCACAGTGGCATCATCCACATCTTGACGAAACTCCCTCAAGGTCTTCTCGGCCTCCTCTGATAAAAAGATACAAGATTGATATAATGAATGCCTTTGATTTTCTGAAGTTTACAACTTTTATATTAATCAGTTATCAATAGTGCAGTCACACAAAGCAACCAATCATAATCTATAATTTACTGGCCTGGTTCCAGCTGACTGAATTATCATTGGTTGCTACATTTAAAGTGCATGTCCTGCTAAAACTTCATTACTTCATGAACTTTTTTTCCAAGCAAAATAAAAGAAACACATTTGGGTTTTCTAAGTATAATTCCCTTATGCAAGTTCCCTTCAGACTGGATGTCAGGACAGTCAGTAGATTTGTAGATATATGTAGCTGACGTTTTATGCAAAGTTCCAACTGTTTCTGAAAAAGTCAAACTTGACCCCACCCTTTCTACCTCTTAAGAGTCCCTATTGGTTAGTGAAGCTTACCCATCTGTAAAAGACAACCTTGACCCACCCTTCCACCACTCAAGTCCTATTTGGTCAATTAGGTTGTCCATCACATCCTCTGACTAATAGGCAGGCTGAAGAGGTGGAAAGAAGAGCTTGAAGTCAATTTTAATTTTTTTTTAAGAAAATTGTCTTCACCTACCTAGATCACTGACCTTATTGACATGTGGTTTTTATTAATGTTACCTCAGAAAAAGTACTTTTCAGTTAAGTTGCAATTTACACTGCAATTTGAACTGAATGCCATCTTTTTACTATACAGCTCAGAGGTTTCAGTTAGACCAGGGGATCTTCAAATTTTCTAAACAAAGGGTCAATTTACTGTCCTTCAGGCTTTTGGGGGACTGGACTGTGGCCAGTGGAAGTAGAAAATGCCCCAGTATCCGTGAGAGTAAACAATGACCCATCCTTTTTGACATTTTTTTTTTTTTAAGAAAGGGCTACATCACATTAGGGCAGCACAGTGGCTAAATGGTCAACACTTCTGCCTGGCAGTACTAGGGATGTTCGAAAACCAACCACGGCACCACCTGCTTGAAGTTTTCATGTTCTCCCTGTGCCTGTGTGAGTTTCTTCAGGGTTCTCGGGTTTCCTCCCACACTCCAAAGACACATGTTGGAAGGTTAAATGGAGCCTGACTAAATTGTCCCTAGTATGTGTATGTATGAATATAAGTTAAGGACCTTAGATTGTACGCCCCTTTAGGGTTAGGGACTGATGTAAATTGATGGCGCTATATAAGTACCTGTAATAAATAAATAACATACACCAAACAACAATATGTTGTGAGAGGAATAGTGACCCATTGTTGGTGTCTGTGGCAGGAATAGTGCTCCATCACTGGTGTTTGTGGAAGAAATAATGCCCCATCACTGGTGTCGGTGGATGGAATGGTGCCCCACGGGCCTGATGAAGCCAAGCAAAGGGCCACAGTATGGAGGCCACTGAGTTAGAACAAGCCAGCCATAAGGCATGCTACTAATGTCTCTTTCGATGACACTAGTGCTCAGGGAATCTTTTGTCATGTATCAAAATGTTTATGACAAAATATTCTATAAAATTACTCACTCTTAGGTATATAAATCCACAGCAGCAGCTAACACAATTTGTGAGCAACAAATCTTAAATACTAATAAGGAGAAGTGTAGTGCATCCGAACGATAGCACAACAAAGGAAAAAAAAGTCCAGAAAAAAAAAAGTCCACATGAACACCTCAGACGTGTCCAGAAGGTGCGACATGAAGCTGTGATGTCAAAACAGTTCCTTCCACCATCAGCAAGCACATGAAGCCTCTGTCCCAGCAGGTAATGACCTCCATGTGAGTGAGCAGTCAAATATTGTTTATGTTGTACATCACCACATCCATCCACTATGTGCTCGACTCACTGGACAATCTGAGCACCCTCAAAGGCCAACACTCCATTCCACCAATAATGGTTGATAGTTTCCCATAGACATATAAATCATAAAAGGGAAAAGAGGTGACTTATAGTATAGTATAAAAGGAACTTGTATGGAACAAGATAAAACGAGCATATTACAAATATTTTCAAAAATCACCATGAGGAGGTGCTTTTCCCTTTTCTGATTTATATATCTATGGGAAAGGATCAACCATTATTGTTGGAGTGGAATGCTCTCTTGACCTGTGAGTCCAGCACATAGCGGATCGAGATGGATGGATGTGGTGATGTACAACATAAGTGATATTTACCCCACTCTGTCACATGGGGGTCAACACCCGCTGGTAATAGGCTTCATGTGACTGCTGATGGTGGAAAGAGCTGTTTTGACATCTTCAAATCACATCTGAGGTGTTCTGGCTATATTCCTGTGGACTTTTTTCTGGACTTTTAATTTTTTTTATTGTGTTATTGTTTGGAAGCGCTACACCTCTCCTTATATGTTTTAAATGCTTATTGGTAAAATAAAGATTGCATAGATATAACAACCAGCAGATATAAAAAACACTTAAAAACACAATAAAAGTGACCCAAAAGTGTTATACTCTCCTTTAAATTTTAACCAGTACAATTCAAACACTGTGTAAAACAAAAGTATAGAAAGCAAAGTTTCATCTCCCATTGTGTTATGACAGCTTTCTGCATGCACCCTCACCTTTCAGAAACAGCTCCTCATCACACTTGGCATTCCATATGTCAATCTCTTCATTTAGGTTTCCTCTTTCAATGTCAGCTGCATTCTTTTCTTTGTTCAGCTTCTCAATCAGTGCTTTGAGTTCCTTGAACTCTTTTTCATATTCATCTGCTATGCCAGGTCCCTTTTCCTTAAGACGCCTAGTCAGTTCTTCAATCTCATCACGCAGAGCCTTGTTCTTCTGCTCCAGAGATCGCACCTTGTCAATGTAACCAGCAAAGCGGTTGTTCAGCTGCTGGAGCTCTTCCTTCTCGTTAGGGCGGTGGATGTGCACCTTAGTGGTGGCCTCAACCTCAGCTTCCAACCCATTCCTCACATTGCTGCCTAAGGTCACCGCGCAACCCTTGGTCCTGCTGGACACGTTCACAGTCTTCTGAGAATAGGATGAACCCTTCATTGTGGACCTTGTCTCTGAATGTGCAGAAGGTGGACTGGAGATAGCATCAGCCAAGCTTATATGTGAGCTTCTGGAATGTGACAGATACTCTACAGCTGTACTCATTTAATGTATAGCCTTCATTAAGCAGATACTTTGTGCACCAGCAAAGTGTTTCTGTTGGGCAGATTGTTCAGTAATCACATTCTCAGAGTTTTACAACTTGGTGCAACATATGTCATATATTATTCCAGTGATATCATGTTTGCTGTGCCTGAGACATGAATTCGGCAGTAAACTGATAATACCACGGTGCTCCCCAGCAACCCCAAACAATACAAAACGGATCAAAATGTCAGGATCTCCCTAATGAAAGATCACCTGTCCTTTAGTAGGATGCAAATAGGTTTTAGCCTTGTTCACACAAGGGAAGTTTACTAAAGCTGGAGCAGCTGTTCATAGTAACTGTAAATACATAAAAGTGAGCGCTCTCAAATCAGCAGCCAATGCACTAAAGGTGATCACAGCAAACCTTATGAAGTACCAAATAAAATAAAGTGCAGCGCTAGATAAATGGATAATAATGAAGGTATAAACGAATAATAAAATGTCCTCAAAAAATAGAAGCACAACCCCATTTCCTTCCTGCGTAGAGTCACGGCGGTTAAAATGAATATTTTGCCTAAACTACTTTATCTTTTTAGAGCACTTCCAATTCCGGTCTCGAAAACGTTTTTGGACCACTTTTAGCGGACTATTAACAATTTTATCTGGGGTAATAAGTGTCCACGTTTTGCTTCATCTATTTTGTACCGCTCACAACGGACGGGAGGCCTCGGACTTCCCAATTTTTGGCTATATTACCTCTCGGCTCGTTTTGCGCAACTATCACAATAGGCAACTATTAACTCTCAGATCCCATGGATCAAGTTTGAATCTCAGTCTATACGCCCATTCTATTTACCGGGTATTTTGTGGTCCAAAATTTCCCCTCGATCGCTTACTTTTCATAACTCCATAGTGACCCATTCACTGACACTTTGGTCCAAATACAAATTTAAATTGAATCTGGTCTCTCTTATTCCCCCAGGTGTTTCACTTTTTGGTGATCCTACTTTTGTTGCAGCTTTTTCTTCCCCTCAAACGTTTCGTTGGTGGTATGATCGATCTTTTATCAGATTATCTGATTTTCAAAGAGGAGGATCTTATATTACCTTTGATATGCTACGCGTGCTTTTTGATGTTCCTCTTCGTGAGTACCATGTTACCGACAGATTAGACATTTTTTTAATTTGCACTTTGGCCTTATACCATCTTCTCCGATTTCCTTTTTTGAACGTATCAGCCAAGACTCTCCTAGGGGTAGGGGTCTTATTTCTGATCTTTATCACCAATCTTTGATCTGTCTTTTTCATACACCCCCTCTATATAGACAAAAATGGGAGGAGGATAGTGGTATCACTTTTTCAGATGAGGATTGGGATTCCATGGTGGATAACATATGAAAGTGCTCTCCATCTCTTTCTGTTCGTGAGACGGCCCTTAAGTTTTTAACCAGATGTTATTATACCCCATCAAGACTACATGTATTGTTCCCACAAATGTCCCCTTTATGTTTCTGGGGCTGTGGCCTCACAGGTACTTTGGTTCATATATTTTGAGATTGCCCGACCATATCTATGATTTGGTGCAAGATATCTGAGGTGGCTACCTCACTGGTGGGTACCCCGGTACGATTGTCTTTACAGACCTGTCTATTGGGGGCTCATATCCCAGGGGTCTCTGATGTTATTATGAGATTGACACATACTATATGTATTGCAACTTTATGGTCTATTGCAGGGGTGGGCAAACTTTTTGACTTGAGGGCCGCAATGGGTTCATATATTGGACCCGGGGGCCGGACCAAGAGTAGATGAATGATGTGTATGTGTCATCCATAGTAAGTATAGTAATATTCCCCCATAGTAGCATAGTAATTCATCCCCCATATAGTAATTCATCCCCCATAGTAATTCATCCCCCATATAGTAATTCATCCCTCATAGTAATTCATCCCCCCTATAGTAATTCATTCCCCATATTAATTCATCCCCCATATTAAGTCCCCAAGTCCCCCCTGTGTCAATTCACTTACCTTTGCTCCGCGCGTTCCTCTCGCCGTGTTCCCGCGCCGTTCCGGTCTTCAGGGCGGACTGTGAGAGGAGCCTAGCTCCCCTCACGTTCGTCACGCTGCCCCGCCTACACACATCCTGACAGCCATCCTGACAGTATCACGCTCCGCGGGCCGGATTAAAAGGTCTGCCGGGCCGTATACGGCCCGCGGGCCGTAGTTTGCCCATTGCTGGTCTATTGCCTTACATTGGAGGTCCAATTCTGTACCCTTGGCCTCCGTTTTACACAGAATTGATGCTGTAATGCTCATGGAACGTATTCATTATACCCTACTGGATAAGATGCACTTATTTGATAAAAAATGGGAGTCATGGAGAGATTATAGACATTTATTCCATGATTAACAACATCCCCAATGAAAGTTGACTGGCATATACTGTTGACAGATGCATCATTCAACCTACCTTATTATCTACTGTGGGAACTCGCTTCAACGTGGTAGAGCTTGGAAACACAAACAGCTACTCGCTTTCTTTTTCAGGGCCTTTTTAGCCCACTTTTATTTAAATGAAAATGTCCCATAACATAATGCTTCCCACGCAGGGGTATCCACCAACAAAACAAAGATCCAGCCTCCTGGCTTACACACAGTTCAATGTCTGTCTCCTGCAGACTTCTTCCCAAAATATGGCACTTGCACACCGCTGGCCTCTAGCACACAGCTAGTCTCTAGCAGCCCCTTGCTGCTTTTGGCTCCCACCTCTCCTAGCTGAAGCCCACCTGACTCCTATCTGCCGGGGTGGAGCCCTGCTGACTCCTATCTGCCGGGGTGGAGCCCAGAACCCTGGTCCTGACTCTCTCTAAAGGCCTGCACACACCTGTGCAATCAGTCTCCTGGCCTATCCCAAAACCTGGTCCCAGGATTGGAGATTTCATCCCTCCCAGATCTCTTTGAAATTCCAGGCTCCAGATCCCAAAACAGACCTTACAAACAAAGGAGGAAAGTGAAAAGCCACTTTCCTCCGTATCAAACACTTACCCTGGAGCCCCTCAACCTGCCTTGTTGAGAATCCAGGGTGACAGATCGCCACACTGTCACACTACGTATTTCATGTACTTGCAAACTACTCTTTTCTATTTCTTCTCTTTCTTACATTAATATACTTTTCTGTATTGTACTTTTCAAAAGTGCCTTGTTTTTGCTGTAAGTATCATTTGAAAATGTACTGTTGTTTTACAGTTTACGTTTGTACAATAAAACCGTTTGTAAACAAAAAAAAAAATAGAAGCACAAATGAACAGTTCATAAAAATTAAGGATAATCCACTTGTTATAGCAGGATACGAGGACAAGTTTGTGGCAGGAACAAATTATAAAAGTGCGCACTCACCGGACGCGCATGGATAATGCGCATGTAATCAATATCCACCAGGGTCACTTATATAGGCGGAGTAGGTGAGCTTCCATCTAAGGATAGATAATCTTGTCTTGGTGGTGTGTGGCAGAACTGCTAGGTCCAGAGGTGCACAGCCTGGGTACAGGGCTCCCTCCCTCTGGTGGTAGTGGATTGCAATAGGGTATCCTGGAAATTAATTAGCTCCAATAGGAGCCAAAGAACAGGTGCCCATAGTGTAGTATTTTGATGATTTTATTCAGAATATAAGTGCGTAAAACAGGGTAGTATAGCAATCAAAAAACACGGTGGTAAAGAGTAGTACTAACCCCTTAGTTAAGATGGCCGCTGGGCCTCCTCGTGGCTCCAGGCGGCTGTGACATCACGCTATGTTGGCTCCTCCTGCACCATTACTGGGTTACCCAAAAAACTTTGGAAGAAATCAACAAAAAGCCAAATGCATACTCACAAACATCAAAAGTAAAAGCATGACACGAATGACTGATGGTCAACCAATGTGGTGGGTTCACAACTGCTGGTAGTGTCTGCATGTAGACACGTTTTGGGGATGTGTCCCCTTCCTCAGAGCTCTATTACACCCCCCCCCCTCCATGTTGGTGGTCACTGGCAATGGAAGTCATCTCCACCAACATGAAGTTAACAGTGAAAGTTATCTCTACTCTCTTTCACGCCCGGTTCATTTGAATGGGGTGCACCTTTTCCAAAATGCATCCACAGGGAAACCGCATGATCTTTTTGACCATGTGGTTTCCCTGCGGATCCCGCACACACGGTCGCGCTGCGGGATGAGATGCGTGGGGGTGCCATTCATTCTCTTTCATGGCTTGCAAGAGAAATGTGATGTGGCTGCGGGTGGTTGCTGATGTGGGAACAGGTGCGATTCCTGCACCCTCAACCAGCCCACAACCTGCGTATAGTATGAACTAGGCCTCTGATCAGCGTTCTCAGCCAGTGGCTGCGAGTGCTGACCGTGTGTTCTGGCGGGGGCATCCCCTTGTCAGAACACAATAGCTCGGCGGGGAGATTGCTGTACTAAAATCACACGGTTAGTACAGAGACCTCCATGCGAGCGCCTCGGTTTTTTTTCATTCAACCTGTTTGGCTGAACAAAAAAATCTTACCGCTTGTACCAGGTACCAGTTGTAGCATCTTTCCCCATCTCTTCCTGTTCTGGTGATTCTATACAGACAGCAATATAAACCTGATGGGATCTACCCCTTACCACCATCCAAATCTTAGATCAAATGTTTTGGCTTTAGATAGACTTTAAGGGCTCATTCACACCAACCGCCATGGGATTTGCTCTGGATAACATGCATGCTGCTGATGTGTTGTAAGGGGTGGCGTGATGCATTGTTATGAAACATCACACTGTTCTCCTGTTCTTTATTGAGATGCCACAATGTCATACAAATGTCATGTTTACACAGCTTTATGCACCACAGTGAGTTGTGACATGTGGCGAGGTGAGTTGTGTTGTGGCATGTGGCGA